TCAAATGAATACAAAAAGCATTAGTATTCAAATGAATACAAAAAGCATTAGTATTCAAATGAATACAAAAAGCATTAGTATTCAAATGAATACAAATAGAACTACTATTCCCAAGTTATCCCAAATTAGAGTATACAAGATCCTAAATAGTAGACCCGCCATGAATTAGACCCAAGCGCAAATCAGGATCTTTATTAATCCAATGCGGTTTTTTTCAAACGGCAGGACTATTATAAATACGAAGTGTGTAGCACTTTAAAATTTTCTTTCACAATATAACTTCTTATCCGTATATATAGCCTGGATCTATTAACGTTAAAGGTTTTAAAATTGGTGGATCCGAGTAGCATTTCCTGTGTAACTTTGATTATCTTTAGTTGATTTTGTGAAAAATTTTTTTTTTCTTATAATTTTTGCGGGAATATCATTAAACGTTAAGATAATGAATATAGGAGCAGCAATCTCGCGATCAATAAAAGTATTCAATCCAGTTGTTTTTTTGATTTTCTTGATGTTTATAAACATTTACAGATCATAATTTTTCATGTAGAGAACTTACATGTCGACAGGACCTCGTTTTCCAAAATTGATCTTGTCTGGCATACAACCAACCGGTAGTCCGCATATCGGAAATTTTCTTGGCGTCCTCTCGAAATGGGTTTCTCTCCAGCGGACCGCTCATGATTCTGTAACATTATTGTATCCTATTGTCGATTTACATGCTCTAACTATTCCGCGGGACCCAGAACAACTGAAAAAGAGTAAGATTGAAACAGCAATTGTATTATTAGCATGTGGAATCGATCCAGCAAGAAGTTTTATATTCGAACAGTCCAGGATACCTGCGCATACAGAATTAGCGTGGTTGTTTAATTGTATCACGCCAATGGGTTGGTTATCGCGGATGACCCAATGGAAGGTAACGAAAGTAGTGCACGTGTGTTATCACGTGATGTTTATAATTTTGCTGACCAGTTATTATTTCCGTTAGTCAAAGCTTAAATTAAAAACAGATAGTCAATTCAGTGAGCATGAAGTGCTTTCATCTTCAGGCCTATGTTTAGGATTATTTTCTTATCCGGTATTACAAGCTGCCGACATTTTGCTTTACAAGTATGAATGACTTTTATTATAAATATAAATTATTTGATATTAACACAAAGAAACAATGTTACATTTCACCTTATTTTTCAGAGCGACACATGTACCGATTGGTGATGATCAAGTTCAACATTTAGAATTAACAAGAGACATTGCCGAAATGTTTAACAAGATATATCATCAAAATATATTTCCTTTGCCATTATCAATTACTAGTAACGTACTTTTTATTTTTTATATTTTGACAATTTCCAATTCAATGTAACATACTAACGCGTAAAAAATAATATACAATGAAATTCGAAATAGCATCAGCGAAACGAATAATGTCACTCTATGATCCTTCAAAAAAAATGTCAAAATCTGATCCAGAAAACACTCGGATAAATCTTAGTGATCCTCCAACAATAATCGCTGAAAAAATCAAAAAATCAACATCTGATTCTCTAAAGTACATCACTTATGAACCAGAAACAAGACCGGCCATAGCAAATCTAGTCACCATCTATGCAACCATGCAAGGAATAACTATTGATCAAGTCGTCGCTGAACATGGTAAAAGTAATATTAAAACATTTAAGGATGCACTAACACAAGTATTGGTAGAGAAATTATCACCAATTCAAGAGGAAGTTCAAAGGTTGAGGCTCGAACAAGGTTATGTACAACAAGTATTGAAAAATGGAGCTGAGAAAGCTTCTATTATAGCTGAAAATAATTTAGATGAAATTCGTAGTATCGTAGGATTAAAATAAACTTTTTTAAGCCGCACAGATATAGTCTAAGCTTTGTATGATTGAATTTTAATAAAAAAGCATATGTCTTAACAAAACGTGCAGTTATATGGACAGCAAATATCACGTGATTGACGCTAATGATATTTCCATTATAAAAAATGGCCTCTTTATATTAAATGCAATTTTAGTTAAAATTATAAAATTATAAGTGAAACTTATCAAAAATATGATATGCACAGTAAATGCCAAGCCAGGCTGAATTTATGACTTTAGGATAAATCATATTGGTCAGATTATAAATACTAATAAAAAAAATTTTTTTTATCAAGATTCTTAGTATCATTAAGTCATCCTTCTTTATGAAAAATGATCTATGACAGGCCATAAAGGTTATATAGGTCATTTAAGATCATCAGCTTTCTTAGTACTACAAAAAATTAATAAATGAAGGTGACAAGAAAAAGCAAAAATATATATACGATTTATAAAAAACAAATTTATAACAGTTTGAAATTCGTTCTAACATTACTTCTGTGGCGCGCCAACCGTTTATGATGTATCCCCCGGTTATCCTGAATTGAACCTAGGTGCCGCACAAAAAATGCGCGGCAGATCCTCGATTTTGATTGGCTATCGGCCGAGGATCTTCAAA